AAGTGCAGCCAGAATGCTCCTTGGAAGCAAGAATGGCCAGACTTTGTCTCACCTATTTTGGTCATGTTGTCAGAAGGGACCACTCCCTGGAGAAGGATGTCATGCTTGGTAGGGGGGAGGGTCGACGAAAGAGAGGGAGGCCTTCAACGAGATGGATTGACACGGTGGCTGCGATGATGGGCTCAAATATAGCAGGGATTGTGGGGCTGGCACGGGATCGGGTAGTGTTTCGTTCTGCTGTGCATGGGGTCACTATGAGTCGGAAACGACTTGACGGCACTTAACAACAACAACAACAACATAAGTAGAAAACTTATGAGTTCTTCAGAGAAATAAGGATTTTATTGATATGTAGTTCTGAAATAAATTTCTTATGTGGGATTTCCCATTGTGAACAAGTCCATTATTTGAAGAGGTATTTGACTCTTTTAATTGATTTGGTTTCAGGATACCTTTGTTGTTGTTATGTGCTGTCGAGTTGGACCTGACTCACAGCATCCCCTCGTTGGGTTTCCGAGGCTGTATCACTACGGAAGTAGATTGCCCAACCTTCTTTCCGAGGAGTGGCTAATGGGTTTGAACTGCCAGCCTTCTGGTTAGCAGTACCTTAGGCACTATGCTACCAGAGCTGCCCAGGATACCTTTAAACTATTAAAAAAATTACTAAGGACCCACAACTATTATTTATATCAAGGTTTCTCCACTTGGGCATATAGGCATTTTGGACCAAATAATTCTTTGTGGTCCGGGGCTGTTAGCCTTGGCCTTGAGTCACTAGACGCCAGTAGCACGCTCCCAATCAGGACGATCAAAAATATCTCCAGACATTGCCAAATGTCCTCTAGGGGACAGTCACCTCTGATTACACAGTTCACATCTACAAATATTTAGCATATTAGAAATGAAAACTGAGGAACCTAAAATGTTTATTAATTCATTTAAAAATAACAATATTGTGAATCCATTCAATGTTAAACATAGCATATTTTTATAAACAAATGTGTATTTTCCAAGCCAAAAAAAAAAAAAAAAAATCATAAGGCTGCCACTGTTTTACATTTTTTAAAATCTCTTTAATGGCTAGCTTAAAGAAATTAGCGGGCTTCTCATATCTGCTTCTGCATTTTATCTGTAGTGATATATTGTTTTGATTGAGGTATATGAAAAAGTCTAATTTCACATAGACATGTAACAGGAAAAGAAAAGTATGTACTTTTTGCTGCAGGGGGAGAGTAGTATACTTTAAAACCTTTTCAGATAGTTACAGATAGTCTTTATAGTATACCTTATTAGACAAGTAGCAATTTCTTAAAGGTCAGTTACAACATGGAAGCTGAAACTAATCAATCACCAGCTCATACTCTGATACATTAAAATCCTTTTTTTGTAACATTATGACTTGATTATTTGGCAAATACTGGTTCACATGTTATGTAGAACTTCCAAATGTTGACACATTTCATTATATAATATCCCAAAATCACATTTGTTAATATCACCACAAATGTCATCAGGAGAATCTTTTAAGTATTTGGAAGTGGTTAAGTTCTGAATGGCAGATACAAGTTCTCCAAAATTCTCATTTTTATTTGAAAGCTCAAATTTTATTAGTAACATATTCTGACACTTTTCTTTGAAGTGACAGGATCACTGAATTTACTTTCAAGATAATGTCTGCCCAAGTTGGAATAGCTCTAGTTTGTTCTTTCAAGTAAAAATGGCATTTCATAAAAAAAAAAAAAAAAAAAAAGAAAAAAAAAAAGACACCAAGTCTATGAAATTCACTTCATTCTTAAAAAAAAAAAAAAAAAAAAAAAACCCTTAAGCTCTGTATAATTAAATATAATTAAAATATGTGCCACAATTTGTTTACCTATATTTAACACAAGGCTTTAAAAAAATAACTGCAATCAACAGTGAGTCATTCATTCAGCATTTATTTAGCCATTACTGGGAGCTTTGGTAGCATAGTGCCTAAGGCATTTGACTGCTAACCAGTAGCCTGGTGGTTCAAATCCATCAGCCAGTTCTAGGAAGGAAGATGGGGGCAATCTACTTCACTAGTGATAGTGCCTCAGAAACCCAAGGAGGGGTTGCTATGAGTAGGGTCCGACTGCAGGGCACATAACAACAACACAACAGGAGCTCTAGGAGCTCTGATAGCATGGTGCCTAAGGCATTTGACTGCTAACCAGAAGGCTGGTGCTTCAAACCCACCAGCCACTCCCTGGAAAGAAGGTTGGGCAATTTATTTCCGTAGTGATACTGCCTGGAAACCTAAGGAGGGGTCACTATGAGCCTTGACTGCACATAACAACAACAACATTGAAGAAGTAAGGAGCTCTGCTGGCTCACAAGCGCTGGGCTGCTAACCAGAGGTTAAAGGTCAGCACCACGAGTGACAGAATTGTAAACTTTATAGAGCAGTTCTACTCTGTAGGATAGCTATGAGTCGAAATTAACTCCACGGCGATGGTGTGTGTGTGTGTGTGTGTGTGTGTGTTTGTGTTTTGGTTTGCTCAGGATGCTATGGTGTTAATTATAAATTTTCAACCTAAATAAAAAACGTAGGTGTTAAAAACACTGTGTAGGTATAATGCACTAGGTCTTCCGTATCATTAATGCAGGGCAAGGCATTTTACAACAACACAAGTGGGAAAAAAAGTTTGGATATTTTCACCCAAACCAACAGTGGTTAACCCCTGGATGGTGGCATTCCTTGCAACGTTTCTTTTTTTGCCCATCTACTTCCTAATTTTTCTACAAATAACAATGTATTACCTATGTAATAAAGAGAAAAGTAATCTTGTAGATTTACTCTTACATCAATCAGAATATAGTAATGATCTGGATGATCAAGAAGCAGAGGATTCTACATAAACTTTATATTTGTAACATGTGTTAACAACGACATATTCGATGAGTTTAAAGGGAAGAACTATGACAAGAGTAGGAAGATCCAGTTTTTTCTTCACGAAAACGAAAGACATGATAGTTTGGAAAATGACCCGTGGCTCGATCATAAAGGAAAATGAGGAATGAAGATGAATAATTATGACAGGCTAATTGGAGTGCGTATAAGAGGAAGAAAAACTGAAGCTATGAAGAACTCCACCCAGGAGACCTCAAAGAGAGGAATAAACGCTCTCTGGCCTTGATTAAATATCCTAGATCCGTGACAAAGTAGGCCCTTCTCTGCAAACTTTAGCTGCACCGGGCGGCCAAGTACCACCACCGAACAGAAAACGCCCGCTAGCACACACCATCGACAGCTCACCTCAATAACTTGCACAAACACCAAGCACCTTCGGTGGCCGCCATCTTTCACCGACCCCCTAACTCAGGAAGCGCTTTCCCGTCCCTCTTCTCCATTGGCTCCTGAGGAAACGGGCAATGCTGCCCCTGCCCTCACGGGCCGACTGCAAATTCCAATTGGTTGTTATCACAGCTTCCCACGGCCTTTCAGCCAGTAGAATCTGCGGAGGTGGGAACGAGTTTTCGGCGTGGCGCACACAGGTACCTCCCGCTGTAGGTGGGGCTGTAGTGGAGGTTGGGCTGTAGTGGGCGTGGCTCCTGATGGACAGCAGCTCTCCCGCCCTCGCCCCCTCCCCCACAAGGAACCCCCGCTTTGGCGCGCCGGCCCCCAGCCCATTCCCCGTCGCCCGTTGGAGGTCCAAGGGAGGGCCTGGCGCGACCCAGATCGATCTTCCAGGTGCAGAGTTCATTCCCCCGCCGCTGCAGCGTTTGGGACCTGCGGCGCTCAGTAGCCAGGCACTGAGCCTGACAGAGGAGGGCTGCGTAGAGCGGAAGACACCGGCGACCTCCGCGCCACGCCGCACTCTCCTCTCTGGCGGTAGGGAGCCCTGGCGTCTGCCCCTCCGGCCTGTGGTCCTCCCTGCTTGCCTCGTCTAACTGCTGGGCGTCCGCCGGAGGCCGCCGACTGAGTGCGGATGCGGCGGCCAACCTAGCAGAGACCTGGGACACAGGGAGAGAAAACGCCCTGCGCTCCAGGGTCGACCCAGGAGACTGAGCCACCGCCTCTGAGTGTGGGTGAGGGTCTCAGGCGGACCCTTACCTCCCATTCTTATACTCGCGCTCCCCCGGGGCCTCCGGCTAGGTGGCGTGCGCCTTTGAATTAGCCTCTGGGTTAAGGGGTTCGAATCCCCTCTCCTAAATGAGGGGCGCGTTCCCACATCTGCCCTGGTGTTAGAACTAAACCGAAAAGATGCCTTCCACACCCCACCCTCTTCTCCCAGGTTTAAAAGCTCCGTTCTTCTCCACTGTCCAGGTGACCTTTAGCGTCTGGGCCGAATTAGAGAAGGATTTGGTTCTCCGAGGGATGATGCCTGAGCTGGACAGACAGAGTACCGTCAGAGAAGGGGCCAGTCGGAAAGTAAGTGTTAGTCCCCACCCCCCGCGCCGTGCGCTGGCGCCTACCTGTAAAGACAGTCCTTGCCCACTTATCTGACCGAAGTCCTTACTCTGCTCCTGGGAGCGCTGGGAAGGTGGAGCACGGGAGCCCCAGACCCGAAGGAGGCGTAATTTGGAAGAAAAGCACCGTGCAGAAAGGGCATGCCATCAACTGATTTTCAGGAACAACTTACAAAGAACCGTTACTCTTCTGCACATCTCTATGCTTTGAGGGGATCTGATAACCAAGAGGTGAGGTGAGCATCGAGTTGGGCTTAGAGCCTCAGTTACTGAAAATGATTAAATTATTTACCCAGAGAAATTATTCATACTAGGTACATGAATGATTTATGGTTTCTCCAGGTCCTGCACTTGTTTCTGTTTTTGTTTTCTCTAATTTTGAATTATTTAATTTTTTTATTGTTGAGAATATACACAGCAGAACATATACCAATTCAACAATTTCTACATATACAGTTCAGTGACCTTAGTTACATTTTTAAATTGTGCAACCATTCTCATTCTCCTTTTCCTAATTGTTCCCTCCCATTAACTGAATTTACCACCTACTAAGTTTCCTACCTAATCTTTGGAGTTGCTGTTGTTGCTTTGATCCCATATGTTGTTGTTAGGTGCCTTCCAGTTGGCTCTGATTCACAGTGACCCGGTGCCTGGTTCTGCACCATCCTCACAATCCTTGCTATATCCTTGAGCCTGTTGTTGCAGCCACGGTGGCATCCCATCTTGTTGAGGGTCTTCCTCTTTTTCACTGATTTTCTTCTTTACCAAGAATGATATCCTTCTACAGGTACTGGTCCCTTGTCCATACATGTCCAACGTATGTGAGATAAGCCTTGCCAATCTCGCTTCTAAGGAATATTCTGGCTGTACTCCTTCCAAGAAGACAAACTTGTTCCTTCTTCTGGCACTCTTCTGATACATTTAATATTCTTTGTCAGCCCCATAATTGAGATGCATCAGTTCTTCTTTGGTCCTCTTTATTCATTGTTCAGCTTTTGCATGTATTATGAGGTGACTGAAAATACCATGGCTTGAGTCAGGCACACCTTAGTCTTCGAAGTGACACTTTTGTTTTTGAACAATTAAAAGGTCTTTTGCAGCAGATTTGCACAGTGCAATACATCATTTGATTTCTTAACTGCTGCTTCCATGGGTATTGATTATGGATCAAAATAAAATAAAATCCTTGACAACTTCAGTTTTTTTCTCCATTAATCATGATGTTATTTATTGGTTTAGATGTGAGTGTTCTTTTCTTTATGTTGAGGTGTAATCCATCCTGAAGACTGTAGTCTTTAATCTTCATTAGTAGATGCTCACTTTCAGCAAGTAAGGTTGTGTCATCTGCATTTCACAGATTGTTAATGAGTCTTTCTCCAATCCCGATGCTGTCTTCTTCACATAGTCCAGCTTGGATTATTTGCTCAATATACAGATTGAATAAGTAGGGTGAAAGAATACAACACTGCAGTGCACCTTGCCTGATTTTAAACTGTGCAGTATTCCTTTGTTCTTTTTGAATGACTGCCTCTTGGTCTATGCACAGGCTCCTCATTAGCATAATTAAGTGTTCTGAAATTCCCATTCTTCACAATGTTATCTATTTTATTGTGACCACACAGTTGAATGCCTTTTTGTAGTCAGTGAAACACAGGTATTATCTTTCTGGTATTTTCTGCTTTCTGCCAAGATCCATTTGACATCAACAATGATGCCCATCCTTCCATGTCATCTTCAGAATTGAGCTTGAATTTCTGGCAATTCTCTGTTGATGTACTGCTGCAACCATTTTGAATTATCTTCAGCAAAATTTTACTTGCATGTGATATTAATTATATTGTTTGATAATTTCCAGATTCTGTTGGATCACCTTTCTTTGAAATGGGCATAAATATGAATCTCCTCCAGTCAGTTAGCCAGGTAGCTGTCTTCCAAATTTCTTGACAGAGATGAGTGAGCACTTTGAAAATTTTTGATGTTTTACATAAATGAGGTCATATAATGTATATTCTGAAATTCTTTTTTTTTTTTTGGCTTTTGCAAACAAAAATTTATTTTACTTTATTTTTTTAATTATTT